GGCTAAGCACCGGAAGGACAGTGGGTAGAAAAAAGAAAACTGTTTGGAAAGCTGGAAGTTTCCATTTGGGATAACCCAGTAATAAAATTATGTGACTGATTCATGAATCTTTGCAAAAAGCCAAAAGAAGCTAGTGCAGCCCTAACACTAGCATATTTAAAAATTAAAACAACAACAAACTTTTAAAATAGGTCCATTACACTTGTGTGATTTATATAATATACATAGTATGGTATATATAAATATATTAAATTGCAAGACATGCAGAAACAGTGGGAAAAGAAAAAACTAGACCTAATGATACATTGAAACACATGACATGATTTAGAAGCAGAAAACTTTAAGAAATTAAGTTTACTAATGGGAAAGTGAAATAAACAAAAATAAACAAAAAGAAATCCAGTTACTTGCAACATACTTGGCTTGAATGGAAGACATTTGCAAACTATTAGTTATTCATAAAACTGAACAGTAAGATCAAAGTTGGAGCAAAATAAGAGACAGAAAAGCCTCTACCTGTTGCCAACTGAGCTGGAGGCTTTCTGACAAGCCAATTTCTCTCAATTTAGAAGGGAACACAGCTAAGTGGTGGCAGTTTTGTTAAAATCATGTTAAATTTAATATATACTGAAAAGACTATGTAAGAGACATTCATGATTTCATATACAATCCTCTTTTCTGTTGTTGTTTGTATTTTAAGTAGTTCACATTTGTTAAGTTCATAATTTAAAGACATTTAAAAGATGAACAACTGCTTCCCAGGGCTTTGGGGAAGATCCTAATGATTTTCCATTCTAAATTCACAAAGACTGGATTTGGAAGAAGAAGCTGGAATCATGGACCAATCTTAGACTTGAGCAATTAAAGTTCAGATTTATGCTGGGCCTGATAGATTAGTTGGGGACAATTATCAGCCATGGCATAGTTGATCTGGGCTGTGGAAAGTAAATGATGGACAACAGTATTATATTCTTGCAGTGGTAACATTATTGATAGTTTATACTGTTGTTTTTCCTTTGTTTTTCTTATAATAGCATTTTTTTCCAATTACATGTAAAGGCAATTTTCAACATTCATTTTTTGAAAGATTCTGAGCTCCAAATTTTTCTTCCTCCCTTCTTTCCCCAAGACAGCAAGCAAACCAATATAGGCTATACATGTTATGCTGGTTTTTAAATTTTTAGGCAATTGGGGTTAAGTGACCTGCCCAGGGTCACACAGGTAGTGTCAAGTGTTTGGTCTGAGGTTGGATTTGAACTCAGGTCCTCCTGACATCAGGGCCAGTGCTCTATCCACTGCACCACCTAGCTGCCCCTTGGTTATAGAATGTCAAAATTCAGAAACAAGTGCATGGTGTTTTTTTTTTAAAATAATGTAGGAAATTTGGAAATGTATTCAATTTAACTGGCATTTGATGGAATTAAGTTGTTTCATGTTTCGTATTTCAGAAGTTCATAAAATCACTTCCATTGATGCTGCTTATAAGTTTCAGGTATTATGGTTTTATTAAGTATTATAAGCTATGCTGTTAATATTTGGGAATGATACCTAGTGTACAATGCTTCTATCATATTAAGGGAGTGAGAATCCTCTTCAATACGCGGACTATGATAGCTTAATGATTCTGAGCCTTCACATAGTAGAAACATTTGTCTGGGAGACATGGTGATCTCTGGTTAATGATTAAATATTTAAATGTGTAGATGTTGATACATCAAGAATTATTTTGCTTTTCGCAAAGTTAAAAGACAGTAAGAATTGTATAGAAATGGTCCATATACTGAAAAAAACATGTCAGAAACAGAAAAAATTTTAAGTACAATTAGGAGTGAAGCAGAGCTTAACTAATCATGATCCCAAATGAGTGGCTTCCAACAGAATGAAGGGCAAGTGTATTTATAGCTAATAAACTCAGGTGGCTGGAACATCTTTATAAATGTTAAGCCTAAAAATAAACTGAAACCAGAAATGCTATCAGAAGTCCTCTGGAAAATTAGAAAACTGGGTTTGTATTTTAAGACTTCAAATTATGTTAAGAAGGCTTTGTGGATTTATAAAATTTATACAACTAGATATGAATGTCTGTTCCTCTTTTCCAATCACATGGGAAGATGGAGCTCTAGAGCAGTTTATTAGAATCTGGTAATGAATTCAGGTTTTCTAACAGCTTTTTTTCCTCTGCAATAATGAGTACATAGAATCAACTTTAAGAACGCAAAAAGCATAGTTCACAAGTAGCAGGACTACATGGAATGTTAGCAAAACTAATGGCTGCTTATATTGCAAATTTGGGTATTTGTTTCCTGGAAATTTGTTTTGTCATCTACAGCGCTGCAAACAAATCCCAGTATCTGCCAGTATAGTTGCTAACTTAAAGACAACTGCATCTCATCTACTTGGAAGAACTGGAACTTTCTTATGAGGCGGAATCCCTAGGCTAAGTTTGACTGACTGCTTATGATCTTGGTAAAAATGTTTCTGTAGACAAATCAGTAATTCATCCTGCAAAAGACAAAATGCCAACAGCTGCCAAGTGGGAATTGTAGAGCACATCCATAATTAAACCAATTCTACGTGAACAGAGCTTGCTGAGGTCAGGCTGACAATCTCATGAAGGCAGTCATGGGATCCCCTTGACATATTTCTCATTATTCATCTCTTCTTTGAACAGGTTTCCCACCTTTCAGATCACAAGCCCTTGAGTAATGTGAAGTAATGATGCATAAATCAATTGCTCCATAAAAATCCCTGACTGTTGCCCGAGATCAGTTGAGGAAGCTCTGCTCCAACATACCTATTAAAGGTCCCTCTGTGCTTCCCCAACAGTTCAATAGGGGTATGGCAATGTCCTCTTTTATTTACCCTCTAGCAGTGAAGTCCTCTGACCAATGAAGGCAATATTCCCAAATCCGTATGAGGTTTGTTCTCACTGAGCAGTCCTGAATCCACGATGAGGATTCAGATGGCATCTTATAAAGCTAGACCTTAGATCTGTTATTTCTCCAGTCTCCAGGATATTTTCCTTCCTTCTCCCTTGAGTTCAATGCCTGGTCTATAGAATTTCCACCATAACTCCTGCCCCTCCTACCAGAAGACTTCAACATACATATTAAGTCTCCTTTAAATACACTAACTTCACAGTTCTCCTCTGTTCCACCTCAGCTGCATGGACCTTAATCTTGTCATCACCCACAGTTCTACCTCCATATTCATGAACTTAAAGTTCCTTTATCTGATTATAATCTTTTGTCATTCCATCTCTCCCTATGCCTTATGACCTTAACCCTGTTCTGCATCCTCACTGTGATCTCCAGTGTCTTTCTTGAGCCATAATCTTGCACTGGCTAGACCATCCAGCCTTTCCTACCTTGACCTCTTGATCAATCAGTCTGATACTATCCTTTACATTCAAATTCCCTGCTCCCTTGTCCTACCACTGATCATACCTTGCTAAGGCCCAGCCCTAGATCCAACCCAACCTGGATTCAGAACCTCCTTCATTCCTATTCATATGCTACTGAATGGAGCTGGAGGAAATCACAGAACCATGCTGACTTGGCCCATTACAAATTTGTTAACAGAACCTCAAATGGGTCCTCAATGCAGTTAGCCAGTCTTTTTAGATCACCCTAATTGATTTGTGATCCTACTCACCCCAGTGGTTATTCTAAACCTTTCATCACCATCCTTCCAGTAACCAGGGCCTACAACCTTGAATCAACTGATTCCTCACTTGCCTTCTCACCAATATCCAATGTGTTGTCAAGTCTTGTCATTTCCATTTTCACGACCCCTCGTATAGATAGTTCTCTCCACTCACATAGTAACCACCATGGTGAAGGCTCTCACCGTCTATACCTAGTCTGTTGCAATGGCCTTTCCGTTGGTCTCCTTGCCAAGTCTCCCCATCCCAGTCCATTCTCCCCTCAGGTAACAAAGTGATTTTCCGAAAGCATAAGTCTTGCCCCACCCCCCCTCAATAAACTCCAATGGCTCCCATTTACCTCCATGATCAAATGCACTGTGAATGCTGTCTTTGGCATTTAAAGCCTTTCACAAAGTAGTTTCTTCCTTCTTTGCTGTCTTCTTAAAATCCACTCCCTTATCCACATAGTAAATTAAACAACTACACTGCTCTACTCACTATTCCACCCACAGGACACTCCATTCCCATCTGTATGCCTTTTCATTGTCTGTCTGCTATGCCTGGAATGCCTTCTTCCTCTCTTCCACCTCCCAGCTTTCCTAGTTTCCTTTAGGACTCAGCTCAAATTCCACCTTCTTCAGGTCATTCCCAGTCCCACACCACTCCCTCCTAGTGTATTCCCTCCAAGATTACTTTCCAGTTATTTGTACATTGTCTCCTCCACTGGGGCAGCTGGCAGATAAGAGTGCCAGCCCTGGAGTGAGGAGGACCTGAGTTCAAATTCGGCCTCAGACACTTACTAGCTATATAACCCTGGGCAAGTCACTTTACCCCGTTTGCCTCAGTCTGCTCATCTGTAAAATGAGCTGGAGAAGGAGATGACAAACCACTCCAGTATCTTTGCCAAGAAAACCCCAAATGGGGTCACAACTAGTTGGATGCCACTGAAGCGACTGAACTACAAACTCCTCCATTAGACTGTGAGCTCCCTGAGGGCAAGGGCTGTGTTTTTTGCTTTTCCTTTTATCCCCAGTACTTAGCAAAGTGTCTGGCACGTAGTAAGCACTTCATGAAAGCTGACTAACTAACCGTGTCTTAGGGCTGGTCCTGGTCAATCTCATCTCATATCAGTGCATGAATTAGAGCGTAGACAGCCCTTCCACAACATAGGTGCAGTTTCTTCTAAGTAACTCTTAACGATGTTCTTCAAGATCAGGCTTCAGAAACTGAGAGATGCTTGGAGGCTGGCAAAGTGCCTTTTGTAACCCAGACACAGTTACACCCCCATCTTACTACCATACTTTGCTCATAAGTACTACGGCATAACGCATGTAAGAGGGTAGATGACTGGAAGTCATGTATTCATGTCACTCATTTAATTATAAGATCTTAATTTTTTCATTACACATGAATGAGACATGTTAGAAATACAGCCCATTGAGTTCATGAACAAAAGCTCTTGGGAAAGAAATAAGAGCAGACAGTCAGAAGTTTCAGCGAATTGGATAAAAGTCTTCAAGAATTTCAGCATAAATTTTCTTTTCTACAAAAGAAAAGGATAATATGAGTACTTTAAATATTTTCATGAGAAGTCTAGCTTAAATTTTCTCTATGTATTTAAAGGTGTCACTACTTTAATAAGAATACACATATATAAAAGTGTCACTCAGAAATTTTCCAGAGCAATTGGTTAGAAAGATCTTACTGTTGCTTGCCTTTAGAGTACTGGGTTGGGGGCAAAGGGGGTGAGGTCAGGCTATTAGAATAACTGCAGTGCTGCTGTGTGGAAGACAGAGGGAAAGAGAAAGAGAACCACTGACTCCACCAGTTAGGAGAGGGCAAGCAGCCAGGCACATTCAAATGTCTTTGAGCTCTGGTTTCCAGAATAAATGGCTCACAGAACTACAGTAAGACATAATATTTACACCAGATTTTAAAATGATCTTTTAGCTTTCTCAAACTAATGAAGCCTACTAATCCCACATTCCCATTCCTGTAAATCTATTCTAAAGATGTTATTTTAAAAAAAACCACCCTCAAATATGGATCCCATGCCAGGCTACAATACCACGTACTGATAGAATCTGGGGGAAGTTACTTTGGCCTTGTGGAACCCGAGTCCCTTTATCTGAAAAGTGACGTGCTACATCTGACTGACCAACAGTCGCACAAATTGTGGCACATGAATGAAATGGAATGTTACTGCACGAGCCCAACAGAGAAACATGAAGAATTTAGTGACACATTGAGTAACCGAGGAATTGAAGCAGAAGCAGGAAAATAACATATATAATCACTAATGCAATCATGCAAATGGAAAGAACAACAAAACTGAATGCTATGTAATTCTAATTCTGGCTCCAGAAAAGAGTTAAGAAAAAGCACATTCATGCCCTTTACATGGTTTAGGGGACTTTGTGTGCAGAGCATTCTATATATTGTCAGACAATGATGTTTGGGTGGTTTTGTGAGGCTTTCCCTGTGCCCCACCCCTTTTTAAATATTTTTTTTTATCAGGAAAAGCTCACTGGGTGAGAGGAAGATATCTGGAAATGAATGGGATATAAAAACAAAAAGAACTGGTAAAAACAAAACAAAAAAACAAACCCCCAAATACGGGAAGGACAAACTAGATGATAACTGAAATCTCTTCTAGCTCTAAAACTGTCTAACTGCCCGTAAATAAGGATGCTGACAGTGGTATGAAAGTGAAAAACTGGATGCCTAAATGTCCAAGAATGGGGAATGATGGAGCAAATTATGTACCATCAATGTAATGGATAACTACAGTACCATTAAAAATGATGAATGATAAAGGACACAGAAAAGAATGAAAAGAAAGGGAAAGCAAAAGAACTTTATACACATGAAGGTACACAAATATAAAAAGAATTGTATACTTAATACTGTTTTATATTGATTTATCACGTTAGACTTAGAAATAATTTTTTTTAAAAGACTAGCATTTTTTGTCTAAACAAAAATCACTAAGTATTTGTTTGAAAACAAACTTAATACACTGGACTGTATATCTATAAGATCTGGGTTATAATTATTGTTCCATCACTTATCAGCTGTGTGACTTGAGGCAAGAAACTTAACCTGAACCTCAGTCTCCTCCTATACAAAATGGGAACACTATCACTTGCATTGCCTACCTCATTGGGCTGTTGTGATAATTAAATCAAATGTAGCCCACGCTCCAAAACGACTCTGGGCTCACAGAGATCAATATAATTCTGGGAACTTCTGGTGTTAACTGGGACCTAAATCATTTTGTAGGTCATTGGAACAACAAAATATTTATTCAGGACAAAAATTAATAGTGAACCAATAGAATGCAAATAAAACCCACATTCCCAAGGAATCCAGTCTCATCCCCCTTTCTGCTCTGGCAGAAGCAATATAATATATAAGGCCCTGCCACACAGGCAGGCTAGTTTTTCCCTAAAAGGCAGGGAAGCTGTGCCCAAGACCTGACTGGTCAATTCAAAGGGCTAATGCTTGACCCAATATTATTCTTGCTTTTTGTCATATTTGCCAACTTATTGGGTATGAAAAGCAACCTATGAATTGTTTTACTATGCATTTTTCTTATTACTAGTGATACGGAACAATCTTTCACATGGCTATTTAGATTATATAATTTTTTTTAAGACTATAATTCTTTTGAAAATTTTTGCTCAAATAAACCAGGACAGACTAAAGGACTTTATTTCTATGACTTTATGATGACTTATATACTTCATATTACATAGCCTCATGTGTACTTACAAATTACATATCAAATAATACATAACTTCAACATTTTCTGAAAACTGAAATACTTACCCTTTTCTTCAAATTTTTCTGAACACGATTTCATATACTGAAACATATCACGGTCCTTTTCAGCATACTTAAAGTTTTCTCGTTTAACAAGGTAATATCCCGCAAAAAAGAATGAAGTGGCATACAGGAGCTGGCGATGTAAACCTGAAATTCATGAAAAACCAGAACCAAAAGATAAATGGAAATCAGGTTTTGTGATGAAGAAAGAATTGCATTTTAATATCATGAAAATGGCAGCCTTTTTTTTTTCCATTACTCTAAAAGCATTTGAATAAAAATTCATTCATTCATTCTACTACTGGGCATTTGCTGTGCAAGGCACTGTGGGAGATACAAAGATGACTGGCACAGAAAAAAAGAACACAAGTGGAGGCCTGGTTTCAGGTCCTTGCTCCAATATTTATCTATACAACTTAGCTTGGGCAAATCATCTTTCATTCGGAGGCCTCAGTTTCCTCATTGTCAAATGAGAAAGACTAGTTAAAATGATCTCTAAAGTCACTTTTAACTCTAAAAGAATAAGGTCAAATCTATTCATATCTCAGATTCCATGAAATTTTTCCTGGGGAAACATGAAGAATCTGCTTGTCACAATATAAAATGCAAGAGTTCCTTTGAAATGAACCAAAATTTGTCTGCAAGTCAAGAATTTCTTAAGCATCTATGTGCCAGACATTGTGCCTGAGGATACAAAGAAAGACCAAAACAAGCTCTGTCCTCAAGGAGCTCAATTGGGAGAGACAACACATAAACAACTATGTACAATCAAGATGTGTGTGTGTGAGTGTGTGTGTGTGTAATAAACTGGAGTTAATCTCAGACAGAAGACACTAACATTAAGAAGACTAGGAAAGGCTCCTTGAGGAGGGTGAGATTTTAGCTGCAACTTAAAGGAAGTGAGGGAAGCCAAGAGGTAGAGATGAGCGGGCAGGAATTTCAGGCATGGGAGACAGTCAGTGAAAATGCATGAGTTTGGAAATGGAATGTCTTTCTCAAGGAATAGCAGGGAGGTCAAGGTCACTGGATTGAAAAGTCCATGGAGAAGAGGAAGGTGTAAGAAGACTGGAAAGGCAGGAAGGGGTCAGGTTATAAAGGGCTTTAAAAGCTAAAGAGAGGATTCCATCGACGGTTGTAGTGTCAAATTCAAATAGAAACGGGGGTTACTCAACTGTACCTAAAGATCTCTGCAGGCTGCATATTGACTTAGAAAACTAAATGTTATCTACGTTTTTGTCCACAGTAACAGCAATATTGTACGATGAACAATTATGAAAGACTTAGCTATTTTCAGCAATACAATGATCCAAGACAATTCCAAAGGATTCATGATGAAAAATGTCACCTGCATCCAGAAGAAAGAACTGATGGGAGTCTGAATGCAGATCGAAGCATACTAGTTTTCACTTTTATTTTTTCATGGGTTGTCACTGGTCTATTTTCTTTCACAACATGACTAACATGGAAATGTTTTGCGTGATTGCACATGTATAACCTACATAAAATTGTTTACCCTCTCAGGGAAGGGGGAGAAAAAGGAGAGAATTTGGAACTAAATTTTTTTTTATAGATTTTTAAAAAATTAATTTATTTTTAGTTTTTAACAACCCCTTCCACAACCTTTTGAGTTTTAAATTTTTCTCCCCCTCCCTCCCCTTGACTGTGCAATCTGATATAGGCTCTACATATACATTCCTATTAAACGTATTTTCACATTGGTCATGTTGTAAGGAAGAATTAAAACCAATGGGAGGAACTACAAGAAAGATGAAACAAAACAGAAGAAAAAAAAGAGAAATCATATGCTTTGATCTGCAATCAAACTCCATAGTTCTTCCTCTGAATGTGGATAGCATTTTCCATCATAACACCTTTGGAGATGTCTTAGATCTCTGTATTGCTGAGAAGGGTTAAGTCTATCAATATCAGTTATTGCATATCGTGGCTGTTACTGTGTACAACGTTCTCCTGCTTCTGCTCCCTTCACTCAGCATCAGACCATACAAGTCTTTCCAGGTTTTTCTGAAGTCTGCCTGTTCATTTCTTATAGCACAACAGCATTCCATTCCATTCACATACTACAACTTGTTCAGCTCTTAATTTCCAATTCTTAGCCACCACAAAAAGGAGCTGCTTTAAATATTTTTGTACATGTGGATCCTTTTCCCGTTTTTATGATTTCTTTTTGATGCAGCCCCAGAAGTGCTATTGTTGGGTCAAAAGGTATGCATATTTTTATAGCTCTTTGGGCATAGTTCCAAACTGCTCTCCAAAATGGTTGGATCATTTCACAACTCCACTAACAATGCATTAGTGTTCCAATTTTCCTACATCTTCTCTAGCATTTATCATTTTCCTGTTTCGTCATGTTGGCCAATCTGATAGGTGTGATGTGGTACCTCAGAGTTGTTTTGATTTGCATTTCTCTAAGCAATAGTGATTTAGAGCATTTTTTCATATGACTACAGATGGCTTTAATTTCTTCATCTGAAAACTGCCTGTTCATATACTTTGACGATTTATCAATTGGGGAATGACTTACATTCTTATAAATTTGACTTAGTTCTCTATATATTTTAGAAATGAGGCCCTTATCAGAGAGACTGGTTGTAAAAATTCTTTCCAAGTTTTCTGCTTCCCTCCTACTCTTGGCTGCATTGGCTTTGTTTGTGCAACTCAAAAAAATTTTTTAATGAATGCTAAAAATGGTTTTTATATGTAACTGGGGAAAAAATAAAATATTATTTTAAAAAAGATATATGAAGAGAGTGCTGCCTCTGCTAAAGGTACATAAATAAAATTATAATAAAATAAAATATCTATGTTTTATTGTTTTTTTTGTTAAATATTTTACTATTTCCCAATTACATTTAAATCTGGTTTGGGCTGCACTCAGGAATGTCTCTGTACTAGAGTTTATTGAATGGGGATGACTTGCTCTTTAGGAAGATCACTTTAATAGCTGAGTGGGGAATGAACTGGACTTGGGAGAGACTAGTCAGGAAGGCCAACCAGAAGGCTACTGTAACAGCCAAGATTAAGGTGATTGAGGGCTTGTCTTGGTGGTAGTGTCTGAGGAAAGAAGGTATATACTAGAGATTTTCCAAAGGCAGACTTTACAGAAGTTGGCAACACATTAGATACTGGGGCTGGGGAGGGAGAGAAAGCATTGAGCATTAAGAGTTGAAGTTTGAGGATGACATCTTGGTTATGAGCCTGGGTGACTGGGAGGATAGTGGTGCCCTTGACAACAACAGGAAAGTTAAGAAGAGGGGAAGGTTTAGGGAGGAAGAAAATGAGTTCAGTTTTTGACATGTTAAGTAAGTTTTCTACAGATCCACCAGCAGGTTATTGCAGTGGTTCAGACATGAGGTGATAAGGGCTGGTACTGGGGTGGTGGTAATATCAGAAAAGAGGAGGAGGCATATTTGAGACATTTTGCAAAAGTGAAATCATAAGGCTGTGGCAACAAATTGGTTGGAGGATGCAGGTGGGGGTGAAGAGAAAGATGTGTGTGTGAGAGAGGTAGCAAGGAGTTGAGGATGACACAAAGATTGTAAACCTAAGAGACTGGGAAGGCAGTGCGCATTTAGGGTTAGGGTCAGAAACGAATTTAGGGTCAGTAATAGGAATAGTAATAGGGAAGTCTGGAAGAGAAGAAGATTTTGGGGAAAGATAATTAGTTCAGTTTTAGGTGTGATAAGTTTTAAGATATCCTAGAGACACTCTTTCCGCCATCTTGCAGCGCTGCCACAATGGTGCGCGTGAACGTCCTGGCAGATGCTCTCAAAAGCATCAACAATGCAGAAAATCGAGGAAGACGCCAGGTTCTCATTAGGCCATGCTCTAAAGTAATTGTCCGGTTCTTCACTATGATGATGAAGCATGGTTACATTGGTGAATTTGAGATCACTGATGATCACAGAGCAGGAAAAATTGTTGTGAACCTCACGGGCAGATTAAACAAGTGTGGTATAATCAGCCCCAGATTTGATGTTCAAATGAAAGACCTGGAAAAGTGGCAAAATAATCTGCTACCACCCTGTCAGTTTGGGTTCATTGTACTTACAACCTCAGCTGGCATCATGGACCATGAGGAAGCAAGACGAAAACACACATGAGGAAAAATCCTGGGATTCTTTTTCTATGGTGTAAAACATACATACAAATAAAAATGCTCCAATGGGAAAAAAAAAAGATATCCTAGCGACATCGCCATTTGATGTCAGAGAAATTAGGGCTGGATAAGAAGATTTGCGTATCATCAGTACAAACATAATTTGAATCCATGGTAGCTGTTAAAACCACCAACTGACAGTATAAAAGAATAAGACAACAGGGTCCAGAATAGAACCCTGTGTGACAGCTGTGGTTAGGGGGTATGATCTGGATGAGGATCCTGCAAAACAGACTGAGAAGGAGAATCTGAGAAGTAGGAGAACCCGTAGAGAAGGGGTGGAGGGGAGGATCCTGAAAACCTAGAGAAAAGATTATGGAGGAGGGTGATAAATAGTATCAAAGACTGCAGAGAGGTCAAGAAATACAAGGATTGAGAAAAAGCCATTGGATTGAGTAATTAAGAGATCACTGGTAACCTTGGAGAGAGCAGTTTTGATTGAAGGATGAAGTGAGAAGCCTGATCATAGGGAGTTAAGAAAAGAGAGAGAGGAGAGGAAATAGAGGCACCTATTTTAGATGGCCTTCTCCAGAATTATGGGAGGATAGTTAGTGTGAATGGAAGGATCAAGTGAGGGCTTATTTTTTGAGGACAGGAGGACAGATGGGCATGTTTGTACGCAGCAGGAAAGCAGTCGGGTGAAAGGGAGAGATTGAAGATAAGTGAGAGAGTGAGGATGACAGAAGGGGCGACTGCTGGGGAAGATGGAGCGGCATAGGATCACTGTCCACAGTGATTGTTCTCTCCAAGCCTCCCCACAGCTTCCCCCCACACCCTGTGCTCACACTTAACCAAAGAAACTGAGGCCATGCTCCTAGGCTCCAATTCTCCTCCTCATGCATCACTCAGATGCTTTCCCTCACTGTCCTTGACTCAGATGTCAGATGAAGAGTCCCTTTTCCTTGCCAAGGAAAACCCTTCTTCAGGTACCCTCAATCTCTTCTCCTCCCATCTTTTCCAGGAGACTGCTTCCAGTGTCATCCTCAATCTCTTATCTTCAAGAGATACCTATTGTCTCCTTCCCCAATACCTATAAACACACTTACGTCTCCCACACCCTTAAACCCTACCTGAACAGACTATCCCTGCTAACCATTGCCCCATTTGTCTCTTTCCCTTTCTGGCTAATCTTGAGAAAAGGTACCTCTACTTCCTCTTCTGACTCTCTTCTAAGCCCTACACAGCTTGGCTTCCAACTTTCTCTTTCAAACTAAACTGCCTTTTCCAAAGTTCCAAAATATTTTCCGGCCAATTCTAATGGCCTTTTCTCAACCCTCATCCTTCTTGATCTCTCTGCAGTATTTGACCTTCTCCTAGATATTCTCCCTCCTCTAGGCATTAGGGACAATGTTCTCTCCTGATTCTCCTCCTACCTGACTGTTATTCAGTCTTCTTTACTGGATCTTCATCTACATTATGTGACAAGGGGGGTCCCCCAAGGCTCTACACTGGGCCTCTTCTATTTTTCCTCTACACTATCTCACTTAGTCATCTCATCAGCTCCTATGGAATCACCGATCAGCTCTACGCAGACGATGCCCATATCTATCTATCCTACCCTCGTCACTCTCCTGAGCTCTAGCCCCGCGTTACTCACATCTCAAACCAGATGTTCCATAAGCATTTCAAACATAGTATGTCCAAACAGAACCCATTATCTTTCCCCTTAAACCTTCACCTCTTTCCAGCTTTCCTATTCTAGGGCTCCACCATCTTCCCAGGCACCAAGACCCCTCATTTGCCTGTTCTCTCCACTTACAGACACCTTGTTTCTAGACAACTCTTTCCTTACTCCAATTCATCCTCCACTCAGCTGACAAAATAATTTCCCTAAAGCTTAGGTCTGACCATGTTATAACCCCGAACTCAATAAACTCATTGCTTACTGAGGTGCCTAGCACTATAGGAACTTAACAAATGCTAGCTGACTACTACCTCTAGGATCAAATATAAAGCACATAAAGCGTTTAAAGCTCTTCATAACCTGGGAAACCCAAAGGAAGAGGTAAGGAGCAAGAATATAAGGCGCAAGGCATGGGAGACAGCTAGTGCAAAGGCACAATGACAAAAGAGGAATGTCACACATGAGTAACTGCATGTCACTCATGTAGCTGGATCAGAGTTCCTTAAGTGGAGTAAGACGTAAGAAGACTGGAAACATAAGAGGGGGCCAACCAGGTTAAGGTTGTGAAGTGAATAGAGTGCCAGGCCTGGATTTAGGAAAGACCTGATTTCAAATCTGGCCTCAGACACTAACTGTGTGACCTTGGGCAAGTCACTTAACCCCGTCTGTCTCAGTTTCTACATCTGTAAAATGAGCTAGAGAAGGAAATGGCAAACCACTCCACTATTTTTGGCAAGAAAACCCCAAGTGGGGTCACAAAGGGTCACACACAACTGAACAGCTACAAGAAGACCTAGACAGAGAAGCCCCGAGAGGGGAAGTTAACTCCCGAGGTCAGCGCTCACATTAGTGACTACCACCAACTGTGGAGTCTCAGCTCCCCTTCTGACACCTCCCCGCCATTCACTGTGCAGACGCTGCCTCAGGAAAAAAAGCTGCAAGAAATGACTCACCCAAAGGCCCAAGGAAGAGGACACTAGAAGCCAGGGCCTCTGAGTCCAAATCCAGGGCCCTGGTCCACTGACGCGCAGGCTTTCAAAACACTTCCCCCGCCCCCACGCGCGCAGAACAGTGCGCGCGCCTCTCAGTCCCCGGTCAGGTGCACGCGAGTCCGAGCCGCAGACCGCTGTCTCGTGCACGCGCATCCCCCCCCCGTCTCGTGCACGCGCGCCCCAGGCACGTCCTCACCAGCGGTCACCACAGGCCGGCGATTGAGCAGGTTATTCAACAGCCCCGCGCAGTAGCCCATTAAGCCCGTGTAGAAGATCTGCGGGTCCGTCAGCTTCGGCGGTGGCAGGTTCCGGGCCTCATCGGGCAGGAACTTCAGCGGGATAAAATCGGGCCTCCCGCTCATCTCGCCAACCCCACAGGCGCCGCCGCCTCCTCCTCTGGCTTGAGGTGAAGGCACTTCGCAGTGCACCGGGAAAAGGGTCCGCCCGGCCACGCAACGTCCGGGGCCGCCGCGCCAAGGTTCCTCCCTTCGGAAAGGTCCGCCCCCTTTCCCTCTCCTGTCGGAAGGGAAAGGGACGCGGTCGGAGGTGGTTCTCCTGCAGAGGGCTGCGGTTTTGCCCAAAGTTACACAGCGTACCAGACTTAGAATGGCTCTTAAAAAAAAAATCACCTTCTGCTGTGTATGGTAATTATTTATACATACTTCCCATCTCCTTTGGTGAGCCCCTCAAAGGCACGTCGGAGGGGAGCTACGTGGACTTTACATTTCAACCAAAAACATTTATGGAATTAAAAAAAAACACTTTAATAAGAACTTAATTACTAACACATGAACATTTCAGCATACAGAGAACAGCGGTAAAAGAAAAACGTTCTTTTCTGCCCAAAGACTTCCCTGACACCCCCCCCCCCATTTCAGGACTCGTTCATAGGACAAATCACCATGGGAACGGACCTCAAAGGGAGGGCACGTGGTCCTATCTGCGGCAGCGCAGGAATCCCCTCTGCAGAACGCGAGACAGGGGAGGGGTGGTCTAGCCTTGCACTCCGCAACCTCCAGAGGAGCCAGCTCTGCTTTTGGACAGCTCCCAACGAAATCCAGCCTAAAGCTACCTCTCTGCAACTTCCACTTCTGTTGCTGGGGACAAATAGAACAGGTCTAGTCTCTTTTCCACCAGCATTCAAATACTTGGAGACAGCCGCTATGTACCCCAGAGACCTCTTTTCCAAGCAAAACATTCTCTGTTCTCTTAACCACTTCTCTTATGACAAGACCTTCTTAAAGCTTGACTATGTAGCAGCTGGGAATGTAATGGATACAAAGGTGAACCTGGAGTTAGTAAGACCTGAGCTCAAATCCAACTTCAGACACTAGCTGTGTGACCCTGGGCACGTCATTTAACCTCTTCCTCAGTTTCTTCAGCCATAAAATGAGAGTAATACTAATATCTACCCTCCTTCCAGGGGTGTTGTAAGAATCAAGTGAGATCACTGTAAAGTGCTCAGCGCATGGTAAGAGTAAATGTTAGCTATTACTATTATTCTGGTTGTCCTCTCAGGGTATTGTCCAGCTTATCAATTTCTTTCTGAAAATATGGAGAGAATTGGAGTATGGTGGGAAGAGTTCTGATCTGGGAGTCTGGAAATTTGGTCTTAGTCCCAAGTGAATCACTCTTTGGGGACTGTTTCCTCATCTGTGAAATGAGAGGACAGATAACAGCAAAAAAGAAAATTATCTTAAAAGACTTCAGAACTCCGATCAATGCAGTGACTTTAGAAGACTGATGAGAAAGCACAAATCTACTGTATCTGGGGAGAGAAATGATGGAGTAGAGGTGCAGAATGGATTATACACAGGGTGTCCCAAAAGTCTTAGTGCAGTTTTTAAGCTTTGGTAGCTTAAGACTTTTGGGACACCTGTATGTAATCCATTCTGCACTAAAAAAATTTGAGACACTCTGTATACACCAAAACTTTTGGGACACTTTGTAGAGCCCATTCTGCACTAAGACTTTTGGGACACGCTGTGTATTCAGACATAGCCAGTTTTGTTTGACTTGATGATTTGTTTTGCTTGATTACTCATTTCTTACAAATGAGCTTTTATGGAGGGGGTATGAGTTAATGGCTAGTGACAAAGACCTCCCTCCAAAAAAGGGCATCAATGGGAAAATTAAAATTTAAAAATACAGCAGACATGTAGAAGGTGACAAAAGAGGACAACTTTGTTATTATTTTGTTAAATTTAATACACACTTTAAAAAATAAACTATATGTAATACAAGTTTATGGGTTTGTACACTATCCTGCTTTTTTCTTCATATTCTTCAAATATTTGTTGATGATTAAGTTCCTACTAAAAACATTTAAATGGGAGGGGTGTCTGCTTTTATGGCCTCTTGGATCCCTTCCAGCTCAAATGTTTTATGAGTCTATAATTAGGGATAATTCAGTTTAACTCCTCCTTCCCTTCCTCCTCCACATGAGGAGGTGAGGAGATTAGAGTTTATCCCGGGAGGGGCATCTGGTTCAGGCTGGGCAGCAGCTGCAGAGTGTCTGGTTCACGAGAAGGTTTACAGAGGTAGAATATAGGCTTAAGGACTATATCTGTGACTTTATGGCTATAGGCCATTCCTGGGTGAGGAAACTCCCTCTCCCAGTGCAGGTCACCACCCTTCCCTATAGTCTTCCCAAGAGTCTTTGAGAGCTGCTTAGAGCACTGAGAAGTGAAGTAACTTGCCCCAAGCCAGTTTGTGTCAGAGGCAGGACTTTATCATGCTGCCTTCAGAGATAGGTGGTATTGTTTGTCCTTCATTCTGATTCTCAAAGAGTACCGATAACTTCACAAGGGTGATGTCTTGACTTGCAAGCATATTGGTTTTCAATGAGGTAGAGCTGTGCAAAGTCATCCACCTCGTTCTCTTTTCCAGAGTCATTGGAACCCAGTGGCAAGACATAGATCAGGGACAACTGGCGATGGCCCCAGATGCAGGGGGAGACCTTGGCCTTTTTAAGCTAGGTCTTTTAAGCTAAAGTCTTTCCCAGGTCTAAGTTTGTCTGACAGAGATAGGCAAGTAGAAAATAAATATGGGGTAATTTGGTGGGAGAAGGTACTGGTAGTTGGTGGGGTGGGGATGGAGAGGGAATTAGGAAAGGGCTCATGGGCTTTGAGCTGAGCTTTGAAGAAAAGTAGAAATGTTAAGAGGAGAGGTGAGCAGGGACTGCATTCAAGGCATGGGGGCAGGGAGGGGACAGCCTGTTCTAAGATACAGAGGCTGGAGATGGAAGGTTGTGGGAGAGCAACAGAAGGAAGGTTAATTAGGCTTAAATGAAGTATGTGTGAAGGAGAATAGTATATAATGAGGCCAGAAGGTAGGTTGGATTCGGGTTTAAATGCTAAACAAAGTAGTTTGTATTCAATCTTAGGGGAAATAGGGAGCCACTGCAGTTTATTGAGCAGAAGAGTGATATGGTCAGACCCAGGCTTTAGGAATAGCACTTTGGGTGTTATGTGGTGGGTAGACTGGTGAGAGGAGATACACAAGGCAGGAAGACCAACCAATTAGAAGATTTACTATAGTCCAGGCAAGAGGTAATGAGAGCTTGAAGTAGGCTGTTGGTCACGTCAATGAAGAGAAAGGGATGGATTTGAGAGATGTTATGGAGGTAGGATCAATGAGACTCAACATTTGATTGGAGATGAGGCAGACTGAACAATAGAGCATGGTGACAAGATTGAGATCCTGAGTAATTGGATGAATGATACTGTCCTCAACAGAAACAGGGAAGTGCAGAAGAGGGCTGTTATTGGGGGGTGGGGAGGATGACGATGAGTTCCGTTTTGGAGTCTGAGATGCCTATGGGACATCCAGGTGGAGGTGCGGGTGATGTGAGCTCAGGAGAGAGAGTAGGGCTGGACATAAAGATTTGGGAATCATCTACAGAGAGATGATCATTGACCCTATGGGAACTGAGTCACTAGGTAAGATGGCAGAGAGGGAAAGCAGAAGCTGGCCCGTGGGTCTGGAGGTATTCCTACTCAATTAGAGTTGAGACTATAATTTTAGTGTCTTCACTTACCAATGAGGGCTCTTTTCACCATGTGATGCTAATTCTTTCATCCTCATTAAAATAACCAGTCTGATTACACATCATTCTCACACAGTCTGTGATCCAGGAAGACCGGACTATGTCTTGTTCCCTTTACATCTCCCCATCTCCTGGGTTAGGGTTAGGGTCAGTGGTGCAATGGATAGAGCACTGGATTGGGAGTCAGGAAGACCTGAGTTCCAATTAAGCTCCTGATACTAACTAGCTGTGTGACCCTGAGCAAGTCACTTCACTTTTGTTTGCCTCAGTTTCCTCAATTATAAAATGGGGATAAGAATAGCACCTACCTTCTAGGATTTTTGTGAGCATCAAAACAGATAATATTTGTAAAGCACTTAGCACAGTGCCTGGCATGTAGTAGGTGCTATATAAATGCTTATTCCCCTTCCTCCATCACTCAAATATTCTTCTTCCTCACCTTCATCCCAAATGCCACTTCTTACAAGAGGCCTTTCCTAATTCCTGAAAGAATTATTTATTTCTTCTATTCATTCATTCATTCTTCTATTTCATTCATTCATTCATTCATTCATTCATTCATTTATTTATTTATCTAACCATTTATTTGTTTGTTTGTTTGTTTGTTTTAGGCAATTGGGGTTAAGCGACTTGCCTAGGGTCACACCACTAGTAAGTGTCAAGTGTTCGGTCTGAGGCCGGATTTGAACGCAAGTCCTCCTGACTTGAGGGCCAGTCCTCTATCCACTGCGCCACCTAGCTGCCCCAAGAATTATTTATTTGAATTAACTTAAAAAAATGAGAATAATTTTCCATTGCAGGTTTAAGGAACACTTCTCCCTTTGGGGTGAAGGAAAGAAAGAGAGAGAGAGAGAGAGAGAGAGAGAGAGAGAGAGAGAGAGAGAGAGAGAGAGAGAGAGAGAGAAACATATCTGAAGAGAAGAGTTGAGAAAGAGGGGCTCTACTTAAAGGAGAAAAGTGACTAGAGAGGAAATACAAAGTTTTCTTCTCCAAACAATTTCTAACCCCAGTCACTGCTACATAAATATAATGCAAAGTAGAATGAGATGGAGACAAATGACAGACCTAGACAACGTATAATAGAAAAATGTAATAACCTCTATTATCTGATTCAGTTCTCCATAATTTGGCTCCAACTTACCTTTCCAGCCTTATCTCATATTACTCTACATTCTACCTAATTAACAGAACTACTAGCCTTCCCCCTACCTTGTATTGCCCTCTCTTAGCTACATGCACTAGCCAAGCCCTCCCCCTACCTCTGCTCCCAGTCCCCCATACCCCACCACTATTTTGCCTTTTGAAATTCATTTCTTCTTTCAAGCTCCAACACAAGAGTAACATTCCCCCAAGAAACCTTCCCTGATCTCCCCAGATGAAAGTGACCGCTCTCTCAATTTTCTTATAATACCTGACCTAGACTTTTTCTTTATTCCTGTTGAAAAGGATGGGATATTTGTTCCTTCCCCCTCACTTTCCTACCTGAGTAACCGGGAAGAGCACCAGATGGAGTATTCATCAGAAAATCCAAAGAGAAAACACAATCATTTTTCTAGCCCATGGAAGAGGAATAGCATTTGGGCTTGGAAGGGGATCTGCAGCTAGGTGTGGAGCTGACATGTGGCTATCTTCCTGGGTGGGGAGCAATGTCAAACCCAACAGGGACAGGGCATGACTGTCCAGGAAGTGAGAATTTTAGCCAACATGTAGCTGGGCCTCTCTGATCCCATGCTGGGTTGCCGACCCAGTGTGGATTTAAGAGGGGACCTGCAGCGAGGTGCCACCATGACATACCTGGTAAATTCAGCTCAGATTTGGTCTGAGGCTATGTAGTAGGGAAAGAGCAGGAACAGAAGAAGTGAGTGCAACTGCAGAGTACTGACCCTAAAGTGAGGTCTCCATTTCAGTCTCCATCCCATCCTGAGGGATCTCGCTAAGTGACAAAGAAAGGATGTTCAGGCCAATTTTGTTGCACTGAAACTGCAGAGCCTTCCAGCTGGCTGATAGGGGCTGGGGCTCAGTGTACTGGAGCTCCAATCAGGTTCAGCTTTACAGTTATATCACCCAAACTCAAACTGGAATCAGGGAATCACAAAGCTCAGACTAAGAGCAGCAACCAGATTTTGCCCTAGATCAGACAACTTAAGGCATACTGAAAGTTTACA